CGTAACATATCTCTTCGTTTATCCGCACATTAACATCAATGAAAAGATCTATCAGTAATCAGACCTGCCTTATCACGCAACTGAACAACCCTCCAATCCCATATCCACCTCAATCAGTGCGAGAATATCTCTCGATCGATAGACAGGATCAACCAGCCGGGAGTTAACACTTCCAATATCTCCTCGAGTCCGTAATGGTTTTACGCGTGTTTACATTATCGTTATCGCCCGGTTCGAATGGTTTCCGCCACCCCCCACGCCCTTTTCCTGGCATCTACGTTTTTCAACCCTTGTCTGGCAGCTGCAGCTCCAGCTCCTTGGGAATCGAACAGCCTTTAGCGAAACTTTACACGACCTCACGACACACCGAACACCTTCTAGCCCTTTAAACACCTAGACACGTATCGCGGTCGTACAGTCGCACATTCGTCGTCAGTCACACCACGAACACCCAAAGAACACGAACACACACAAGCAAAGAAGAACGTAACCCACGATGATGCCTCCGTCACTTCTATCGACCGACAACGCCTGAACATGGCACCACACGCCAACAACTCCCCCCAGGAACATGCCACACCCGGGGCCAGAAGGCACGCGATCCACTGATCCGTCTTGCGAGAGGCGCTACCGTTATCTCCAACGACCGATCTCTAGAAGACGACTAATAGGTTCAGCGCGTGAACACCTTGTCCCGGTAGGACCACGTGAAAAGGCGTTCACCGGCTACGTGCTCGGTTCGCCCCGAGGGGCTTCGTGAAATCGTCGTGGAGAATTGTTTAACCGCGATGGTAGATATAACGATAACTCCGCCAGGCCGATTCGTGTACAAGTAGACCAGGTTAGACGTGTTGCGATTCGCGCGAAGAATATTACTTTGAAGCATTTTATCGGTCGAATCTAGCACGTTGGACTTTTTCCCTCCCCCGACTTCCACTCGGGATTACTTGAAATTGGAGTTTAATTTCGTTTCGAAACGATCCCCTCTATGAGAAGCCGGTCGCTTTATCAATCGGCTGGGCCGAATTACCGGAATGCACGGTTAAATTCGTCGAATTGAATTCCGACCGGTTGAACGGTGCCTTTGACTGCCCTAGAATATTCTATTCGTAATTCAGTCCGCTTAAAAAGCTTTACATTTTAATTGGTAAGTGTTTACGGCGACGGTATTAACAGAAATCCGATGATTATGTGTCGTCGGAAGAAGGAAACTTTACATTCGTTTATCGACTCGAAAATTAATCCTCCGGTCACGTGGAAATTTTCCTGTGTCATGAAAACATGCGTGAGACACAGGCTAGACATAAATTCCCCGGCGAACAGCATTTCTTAATAGGTCTTTGCCGACGTCGCGCATAGTTGTGGCTGAAACCATAGAAAATCAAACTGTCTGTCGCGAGTCTTGCGCGTAAGCCTCGCGTAGAGCGTGACCCATGCGTTAATCTGGCACAAGAGCAACTGCTTTCTGCATAATTTTATTGCGAAATTTGAAACACGAGCCGCAGAACACATGAAACGCTCTCTGTGCCTCGGTAACATTTTCCACTTGACGTCACCCGATGTCATGATTCCAGCCACTTATAGTTTACTGTGCGAGCCTTGTACCAACCTGGTCTTCCCACGATTTACGTAAAATATCATGTACACAATAGTATCATATGATTGAATGAAGTAGTACCGTGGAAAACAACGACAGACACAGATAATATGATCACTATTAAACTAGAAATATACAAATGAGTTTCATTGACACGAAGATTAGTGCACTTAACAAAAACACGTCTGATGACTTACGCTGGGTATTGCAAAAACAGAATTCAAAAGTGCAAAATTATACGGTATTTTTCTAAGGGACGAAGAATGCGTAAGTATAGTTTTTTGTAGGTGTAGTTGATTTTCGTTTTTCATATATACATCATTATTAAAACCAAATAATAAGATAATTACATATATATGAATCTTAAAAATTGAACATTTAAAAGTTACAGCTGAAGAAATATTAACCCAGGGAGAATGAAATTTCATCGTACAAGGGAAGCAAGTGGGCAATTTGTACAACTAATGTTATATGTATTTGAAAATTGTTAAAGGCATAGGAAAATTATATATAATTCTGTATGATATCATATGGAGCTATGATTTAGTTTAGTGATACATACAAGAAACTAAACGCCTGTAAAACATTTCATTAATGCTGAGAATACAATGTAAACTATATGAAAAATGTTAATATAAATATAAATATCCTTGATTAATATGGTGTTATTAGATATTGTTTACTGTGAATCGTATTTTTTTGTTTCACTGTGAGCACTCTCAAATCGTTTATCAGAAAATTAAAAATGTTGCAATAATGTGTGTTAATACACAGTTTTCCATTACCTTCGCATTTCAATAAACATTGTATTACTTTCCGTTTGGTAAAGAAATGAGTACAGTTATTGCTCTGTTATGATTTTCTTTGTATAGAATCGTTTCAATTTTAATGCAATATAAATAATTTCTGCAGTTCCTAAAGTAAAATACCAAAAATATAGTCTTCTTTGGGTTTCTAGGTACTCTAGTAGTAATTTATTAACGAAGCTTTATCCAAATCGTTAACCTTAAATCCCACGATTTTACAATTAGATTTGTATCAGATCTTAATGGATTCGAGATAGTAAAATAAGTATATATTTCAATGAGATTTACTTTTTCGCTGTTCTTTTTACTGCAGCCCGATTGAATCACCAAGGCCGCTCTCCTTGGCTATCCTCATATACGTCTTCAATTTTAAATTTCACTAAGAGGAATGGGACAATTATCACCAAATTACTGGAAGTACAATGGATCGGTGAACTCCAGATGGACACAACTACAAGCAATAATGGGTTTAAGGTTACGACGTCGTTTAAAAACGCACATACAATCGCACATACAACGCAACATACATCGTGGATATATGTATTGTAGATATACATACAACAATGTGCAATCCGTTGTCACTTTATCAGTCAGAAGCGACAGATAACTTCAACCATTTAATCATCAAGTCATAGTCCTTTGCTCAGGGCAATTACTATAAAAGAAATGTTAGAGGAAAAAGATGAATAGTTCAGAGAGTACAGCATTTGTAGGACCATTATATCATTTACAAGTGCAACGATAGGTGCGCATTTAAAAGCCACATTATTATTTCGAATAGAATTGTATTCTTTTTTTTGCAAAAATCAAATCCTCCCGTCATTCTGGGTGAAAAGATTTTCATTGTAAGTGATTCAAAAATAGTAATTTCGCGAGTTATTTTAAATAAATATCTTTATTAAAGGAGATGCCCAAACACTCCTCCATTACATTTCATTGTATATATGCAATACTATTATGTTATATATATATGTATATATATATACACACTTCATTTTGAAATTGATGGTAACTAGCTAACGCAAGCAAACAAATTCGGTATTTGCATATTGGCTGTTCGCAGTAAAACACGCAAGCGTGGTTACAATATTCGTGTTTATGTACCTATGCATATTCGGAATTTCTGCCGAATGACGAATAATATTCCGATTTTCAGTCGGTAAATAGACGCACATCGAAGCCATCGAATGTTCCCTTGTTTGAACAAAATTTAGATGTTAGGCTGACAATTGGAAGGATGAAGTAAATTACCGATGCTGTTTTTCAATTTTCTGAAGTATTTTAAGATGAATCATCAATATGGAATCCTATGGATGTTAATTATAAACGTAGAAATATAGTAATGGATACATGAAAAGTAGCCCAAGGGAATGAATAAGAAATGTTTTAGCAGAATAGCACTGCAAAAATAAAATATAAAATGATACAGCAGTAATATTTTAAATTCTTTTTACTTTTCCCGTACAGAAGACACGAATATCAATGTCAATTAATTATTACTAATTGTATACTTAATTTATGTACAAATATTCGTACACAAACATTTGGTCACGAATATTTGTAAAAATTTACGGATATTTGTCAATGAACAGATATATGAAAACGGTGAAAGTTATGCAATAATAATAACAGAACAATAAAATGCATATAAATAAGCCACGGATTCTTATGCATGAATTACCAATTATCTATGCATAATACAGCAGAACAGTGATTACGGGAAACGTCGAACCTCCCAAGTAGATATTTATCGGAACATGGAACAAACCACGAATGTTTTGTGAAAGAATTAGTTCAAAAAAAGCATTAGAAACAACATCATTTATTACTATTAAGCCAGTTTAAAATTAATTATGCCATGCTTTAATTGATGATACAATAAACTCGATTTATTGGTCTGTCCTATTACGCTAAAAATGCTTGGTTTTACATACGCATAACTTTGGAACCGCTGGATTCCTAAATTTAAAACTTGCATTTTTAGATTCCACTCGCTGAATACTACTAGAAGATATAAAAAAAGTCGATAATTTTTGGTCCGGGGAAGTAAAGTTCAGCACAAAATAAAAATAAAAGCGGTTGAAAACGGCAAGGACTTACGGGGCAACCGAATAAAATACGTAAAGATAATCCAAGATATAAAATCATAGATGAAGTGCTATTGTTACATCTATTCTTATTGAAAAAGGTAATGACAAGGCAGAAAAAATGGTCATTGGTTGCCGTTCAAATACTTGTGTTATTATGCACTCTTCCACTGAGGAAATATCCATCTTTCAAAATTCCTTTGTTTCTAATAGCTTTATGATATACATATATACTAAACGTTGGTTCTCCTAGACCAGTCATTCGAAAAACTGCTTATCCAAACGAATTTATCTGCCTGCTAGATCGAATAATCGACATTCCACTGCACAAAAAAATGAGGATTTTAGTAAAAATAAATATCTTTTTTATTCATGACTATACAATTTCCCTGGTAGCGAAATAAAACTTTACTTAATTCTCGTATCTGTTAACAAATCCTCGAAAGTACAATTCTGTAGAGACATACGAACTTATGAAAGCTAAATTTTGAGAAATCTTTAGGGACTTACGATTCACATCGAGGATGACCAGTCTAGTCTGTGGTGGCACCAAGTTAGTGTTGCTGGCTTCACAGATCAGCCGAGCCTTGAGGTGTTGCCGGCCAACTTTAGGGTAAGACAAGCGGTTAACCGTCAGTCCTGACTCGGTGTTGTAGTGATAGGACTCGTCTATCACGGTGTTCTCGAGGTACCACGTCAGCTTCGGGGGCGGCCTGCCACCTCGTACCTCGCAAATCAGGTTCACGTCACTTCCCTCGTTGTAGAGCTCCTCTATCCTCGAGATATCCCTCGTCGTTCCGTCCAGTATCACCGGCTTCGACGAAGGCACTGCCCGAACACCGTGCATGATTGAATCAGTGGAAATGCGAATTGATTATTTGTCTGTTGGATGAGAATAGAATGATCTATGCGGCTCGATACTCGTGATGCTGTGATTTACTCGTGCAAGATTGGATAGAGCCAATTGAATTCCGTTGGTGCGAATGATTTAGCATTTGCTGAATACTCTTTTGTCGGTCGCGACGATTACACGTGAATGAAACGACAGATAAAACTAAAAAACGACGTGTATCCATTGGTGGATTTATGGATAGCGTATATATAGGAGAATGCGTTTCAAACAAATATGTATCTATTCTGTCGCTGAGAATTGAAAAACTGAACAGTTTAAGAGATTCGAAATTTTATTATAAATCATAGGAGAATCGAACGTATAGGTATGTATAATATGTATTAGCGAGTAATTATTATATAAAAATGTTGTAAAGCTGCCCTTGAAATGTAAATCTATAAAGAAACTCAGCGAGCTTCGAGAAAGACTACTTCGCGCCCATACCTTAATTCAGTTAAGGATAAACTGATTTATAGGTTTACCGAGCAAACTTGAGATTTATGGGTGTAGATAAGGGGAATTAGTGGGAAACGAAGGCGTTTGCAACAGGATGTGTCATCCAGTCTATTATACTGTATTGATAGTCACGATCATAGACACTTTGAGAAATGTTTTATTACATCGTCAGAAAAATATTGACTTGTACCAAACATTTAGAATGTAACTGGGTCAGAACGATAAGATGCGACGTAGAGAAGTATTATGATATGTGTATGTATGCAAACTTGACAGGACAACTGCAATTTTTAAATTCATGAAAGTCAACCTTTGTCAAAATTACTGTATAGTCTATTTTTGTTACAGCTACTCACCGAAGCGATTCAAAAATAGAATTTCCTGACTTTGCGTATTCCTTTACATATACCCCATGTTACTGATTCTCATTATACCAAAGAAATTAATTTTTAGACAGTCTCATGTTTAATTTATGTTTTTGAAATTAATATCAACTTTCATAAAACGATATATATACATATAGCCAAGTTTAATTATGGTCTTTAACTTGAACTAGTCACGTAATATTAATGTAGTGTGTAAAAGGGGCACGTTGTCAAAATATAAAAAGTTATTTTTAATCCAGTAAAAACGTTTATAATGAAAACCAGTCTCTTATCAACTTCTTTTTCTATTCAATTTTGTATATAAGTAGAACTTCATACGCACCAATTTTAATAAATATAGATATAAATAACGGTTAATGTAGTTACTGTTAAATGAATAATAAATTTACTGCTTACCTATAACAGTCAGATTCATCTTTTGCTTACTCGTCGGCGAATTCTTGAAGTCCACTCGGCACCGATAGATCCCTTCGTCTTTAGTTTCCAACCGATCGATGCTGAGGTGAGCGGGATTTGACGCCGTGATAAAAAAAGCTCTTGGTCCCAATGCCGTCGGCGACGACCAAAGGCGAGCGTTGTTGAATTGTCGACGACCCCGAACGTCAAACCTAAAACCATTGATTACACTTTTTTGTAGTAATGCCGAGCTAACTAGGAAGATACATTATTATATCTTTAATATACAAGTATTACGCGCCGACCAAAATTTTCCCTAATTTTCTACATAACATCGGCTGGAATGCGTTACGATAATGCATTAGCACTAGAGATGGCGTGAACTGCTACTTGTGAATCACGAGTGATTCGATCACGTTCGTTCCCAATCACGATGATTTTTCACAGTGATTCATGATTTTTCATGATCATTTCTGATTGGTGGAGAAACCTAACAGTTCTTTACACGCGACACATAATTTGTATATTTTATATTAACGACATCAAAACAAAAATTCGAGTTATATCGTATAAAGTGAAGGAATAATTAGAAACAATGAAGAATAATGAATAAATTAATGATTATAAATTATAATCTACATGTTGCCTAACAAATCATTCTTTTAGAATTTCTTGTTTTGTCTACTGATTTTTACAAACACGAATAGTAATGTAATTCATCGTAAAATCATATTGAATACGTTTTTCTGTTTAAAAATCAAGTATTTTCGATCGCAGTGAGCAAATCACTCAAGATAAAGAAATCAAATCACGGTCGTGAATGAAGTTAAATCACGACCGTGATCGTGATTCGGCGATCACTGTGATAAATCACCGTTAGAGATTTTTCACGCCATCTCTAATTAGCACTGTGAGAGATCTTTAATCGAACACAGTACAGTTCTTGATGTTTATAAGATAGTTTTTCTTTCTCGCGTCGCGGATAAGCTTGTGAATATAACGCATTCCTTTTCTTACAGTCTATGTGGTCCGACTTCCGGACTATTTCATTGTAATGCCAGATATTCTGGTTATGTGGACTCTAACGAACTCGATGAATATATTTCAAATATTAGAATTTTAATCAATAGTTGTTTCAAGCAATTCTTGATTTGGACGTTCTCTTGCATGAAAATTCAAAACAGTTCTAAGTGTTGAATATAGTAAAATTTGTGAAATACGTAATAAATAATAAATAATAAGATTTCCATCTATTCAGTTAAGAGTTAAAGCGAAATCGTCTATTTAGGTACGAGTTATAAGGCTAAGCGCGGTATAAATCAGAAATACTTAAAACATAAATCTTACTTAGTACTTTTAGAAACAATAGAAGAAAAAAGACGAATTATATAATTATAGACATTGCAGTTTCAAAATATGATGGATTATTTGTAAGATTATGTATGTAAAAAAAATCAGACAGTCACTGTTTTATTGTCTCAAAGTGAAATGTCTCAGTACGAGAAATTTATCGAAACTAGTATTTTCCTTTTCCTTCATATATCACAAATATCAACAGGCGGATCTAATTGGTTACAGATAGCGCCACAATTGCAATTAATGTGTACTTACAATGAAGAAGTGTTCTGAATTCTGGAAACCACGAGTAATCCGTGGTAAATTAATTATCCGCATATTAGTTCTATAATTATACACATAGATATTGCAAGTCATTTAGTGAGAGAATCCAAGTTCTTATTTCTTTACTTAATTTCATTGTACTTCATTTTTATCTTAACAGTTCTGAAATTTAATTCGTTAAAACACACTGTCAACAACTTCGTGAGAACACTTCTACTAAGCACGGTTAGTACTGAAATTCTCGGGAAACATGGCAAACGTTTTCATGAAACTGGCACTTGTAATCTCAAAGATCCGACAGATGAAGTTAACAACGCCCTCTCCGGACGTCTCGTAATGTAGACTTTAGTTGGTGTCACGTGCAAACTTGAGAATATGCTTACTTGAGCTCCATCAACTTCTCAACTGTTCTCTCTACTATCTTCATAAGATTTCAAAATTGTTCTCAATGCTAACGCCTGGTGTTATCGAGTAATTGTTAACGCAGTTCTTCTTCGCTGATATAGTAACAAATTATACCTTTCGTTTCTCAGAGAAAAATACACTTCTCTTATAATCATATCTATTTTAATAAATGTTGTATGCACATTATAAAGAACATTTTAAAAAGTGTTACACAAAAAATGTTGATGAAAGACAATGATATTAATCCCATATTGCAAACTGGGCCTGTAAATGTAAGTTGCCTTTTTTTTTTCGCAAAACGGATTACTTTTTAAAGTTTAATAATTGCATATTACTTGAGATTCTCTCTGTAATGCAATAAATCATATTTTGGGTAAACGTTTCATTCTTTCGTCATAACCATTTCTGATAGCTGACATAGCGGTGAACAAGGCGTGATTAACGGGCTAGGCAGCATTCTTCATGACTATTTCATTAGAACACTGTATGACACTTTTTTTTCATTTGTATGTCTATGTCCACATATGTTGTTGTATAATGTACACCATTGTCCTCATTAGAAATGTGAACCAAATCATCCAAAATAGTGGCAATCAAATAAACTATTTAATATACGGTAATGAATGTAACAATCAAAATAATAAGAGTCTTAATTGGGGCTCATATGTTCACGAAACTATATTATGACAATATTTTGATAATCAATCTCACTTTCAACTGGAAATAATCTTAATTTAAGGAATTCTGAAGATTAAAATTTTCCAATCCTCCAAAATGGTAACAATCAAATAAATTACTATATAATAATTAAAATAAAAGGACAAATATATTTACGAAACAGTATTGAAACAGTATTTTCACAATGAAATTTATATTCCACGTGAAAGTATACGATAGTATTTGTTTTTGTGAATGTACTCTGTCAAGATTAAGTTTCCTTACAAACTGGCGCTATAGTAAAATTGTTCATTAGAGGTTGAGGTATCGATGTATTTATGAATATTGGTATATCAGGTACATCATAAGCGTAGGCAATACCGCGTTCATTTTTGTAATTCTCAACGAACGTAGGTATTAAATTGATTAACATTCATGAGCATATACCCCACCACCATATCCTATCGACCAAGCCTTGATAGCGTCGTAGAGTTCTGGTACGCGCGATCTAAAGCCTTTAGTCACGCCGCGCGATGGATCCGGCACGGGAAGAAGCGTGGCTAAGCATAGTCACCTGGGGAGTCATCCTCCGTGCGTGATTGCATATTAAGCATCCGGAGCGGCGAACTAGAAACAGAAGGCTTCCCGAGGAGAACGAGACGGATGTCTTGCAAAGATAGAAAGAGGATGAGAGTAAAACCAGAACGACGGAGAGTGGGGAAAGGGTGGAGGGAGGAGGGGGGGAGTATAGGGTGGGAACGTGAAAGAAGAGAGAACCGTAGGAGACTGAGTATGGAAGCCGACGGTTCCTCACGAGCGACTAAAAGTTAAATTGCGTTCCACGACTGCACGAGAGTTCGGATTTCCGCTCGTGACTGAGTATTCCCAAAGCTATCCCACTCTGCTGCCTGCTTCCGTAGCATTGACGTTGAAATACGATTTAATTCTTCCACTTCGCACTTCCAACAGACGAGGAAAGCGCTTCCGTGACGTGCCGGTGCCGTCCGGACGTCCGTATGGCTGCCTAGCTCGGGGCTAGCCGCCCTTTTGGGCTCCGCGCGTCACATAGCTGCAACCACGCTTTCTATTCGTATCCGCATGCGTTCCTCCTCTCCTCAGAAAATCACACGAGCTTTCCGTCTCGGACTAAAACGATCCCGATAATGCGTTCGTTCGACCGGCTTTCAACGAACCATAACCTTGCGAAGCGATTCCAGGGTATCGGTCTTTCGGCTACGGCTCTCGCTGACGCCGCGCTGCCTGAATCTACGGATCGATCCACGGAGGCCCTTTCCTCGTGCCTCGTCGATCACCTGCGTCTTATTCACGGAGATTTTCGAAAGAAGAATCGGAGTCTGAGCGTTCCTCGAGCCTGGGGTGCATGGAAAGCAAAGTGATTCACAGGTTCTTCCGTTTTTATTGGAAATCTCGCTGGGGTGAGCTGTAAGTTCGAGTATTGAGATTCTCGGCGGTGGTATTGTAACGGCTATTCCCGGCCCGATCTTTGGTGCTTGATGGAATTCTGTAAGGAGTGATCTGCGAAGATTTATGAGTAAATAAGTTGCGTGGAAAATGTTCGAGTATCTCTATTGGCTCAGCAATGTTCACTTTTTATTGTCACTTGGGGGTTGAATTAACATTCAACGGGATAGAAGAGTCTCTAAGGCTCTTTTATTATTTCATGGTACAGAATATTATAATACATACAAATAATAGTTTATAAAATAAATAATTAAAATTTTAATTTTACTGTTTTACTAAATAAATTCACTGAATTAAAAGAAGTAAAATATTTTAAAACGATTAAGTTTAGTTTTTCTCCACTGAGAGCCTCTGAAGTTGTGCTCCATTCTATCCTGATGCAGGTTAATCTAGATCGATTATTATTTGCAAATTGACTTGTCAGTTTAGTGACAAAATATGTTTGGAAGTAATGTATTGTTATTGAATATAATCGCTACATTAACATCTGTATTTTATATTAATTATTTGAAATAAAATTAAGAAGGACATTAAACGTTACTGCCAGTTCAATATCTGTACTTTTTTTACCAAATCTTGTAATAAATTTTATGCAGATCACTGTTGAGGATCTCAAATGTGAATATTATCCTAACGATTCGCAAGCATTTCAGCTAGCTTTATCAGGAATTAAATGTCATACCAATAGTGCGTTGTGTGAATAACTTCATTTGCACATTAAAATTTGGCTGCGACTTCATTCGCAGTAGCTTTATGAGGGTGAAGACATTAGTTACTAGTGAACCTTCGTGTATTTATTAAAAAATATTATGTAAGTTGTGTGTCGATCTAAGAATATTATACATTAGAGGAAGAATTAAAAATTATGAACAAAAACATTAAGATAGCAACAAACAATTCAAATTGAGATCTACCCCCCAGATTCTATAAACGTAAAATTCCAGTTTCTATTCGTTCATTGTTCAAAACTTGCAATCTGAATGAATGAAAACCATTGTTATTCGCCCATGAGAATCCTAACTGTGTACCTTTAGAATTTTCCCTGCGTTTATTCGTATTCAAGAAGAATCCACACTTTCATTCCTTAATTTCTGTTCAGTTTGGATAAAAGACTATTAAACCCTTCCACGGGATAACGAAGCTCGGATAGGGTTTCGCATAATACATGCGATTTAAATAGGAAAACGGTCGCGTGGAATTGGACCGATTCAATTCTGCGAAACGATGTCCCTTAAGAGCAATCGAGGGCACTATTTAGTGATCACCCAAATATTACAGAGAATTTCATAAAAGGTCGAGGACAGGGAAACTAAAAGAAAACGCGGACAAGGAGAAGAAAGAAGAAAAAGACGACGGGGGGAAGAATCGTGCAAGGAAATGAGGGAGATGAGTCTGTAATCAAGAGAATTGAATGAACGAGGACCGGTTAGAGCGAAACGTTCAAGTGGCCAAATAAATCGACGTTATGAGATTACAAATCAGATTAAGTGAAAGTCAAGCTACAGAGACGAAGCAGAAAGGGTGAAGGAAGGGAGGTACCTTTAAAAATGTAAACATCTCAGTCAATCTACCTTAAGTTGGGGATTCAAAATATATTATCATAACTCGCTAAGTTTCATGAAGTACAGCGAGTAAATTTACGTACAAAATATGCCCACCCTTATCTTTCTCTTTGTACCTGCTCGAGGCCAAAGCTGCGATTCGTTTCGTTGGATTAATAAAAAAATGACTCTCGTTTATCAAGCATAACCGTGCACAGTGATAACAACGAATACTGTCCGTTTATGAGAGTATATACTTTTATTTTGCTTCATTAGTTTGGTAGATCCAAACTTGCAAGTTGGATGGGTAAATTTTTTATTGCAACGCAGTATCGACTTGTAAAATATAGTGAAACATATGAATATTTAGAATGACTTGGCTTCGAACTGTAGATGTTAATATTCTATCTATAATCTTAAATCTATTTAAGAAGAGGAACACTCCTTCTGTAGTTCTCACTGTTCGTAACAAACTTTACGTCACAGAATTTTATGCAACCAAAAAAATAAGCCACCACAAAAATTACCCTTATATATAATTCGTAAGAAATTTAAGTTTATTATCAGCCTATTGCAGGAGTTTACAAGTTTACAGGAAGATAGATCGTTATGTGTGAATGTGCAAACGGAGAAATCAAAGAGTAACTGTTCTCTTTTATTAAACTTCGTAGGTATCAGATTTCCAATAAAATGAAAACGCTATTAAGCTTTACTAAACTTTCGACTGTAGTCAGTTTTACATAGGCACATGTGCTATAAATGCATAAAGCATAATTATTACAGTGACTATATATTTTGCAAAACAAATATCATTTATTTATCCACCGTGTCAACATAAGTGTAGAAAAATTGCATATAAAATTGTTTATACAGATTATTGTGTTATTTTGTTAAATAACCAATACGTTACTCAAGTCAATTGATAAAGGATTAAAACTGTTTATTCGGGTAATGTTCCAAATTCCGTGTCTATTATTGGCGTAACTAGGTAAGGGCCAGGGTGGGCCTGTCCTCCCCCGCCGCCCTTCCCCCAGAATACGGACTGGCTTCCCCGTCCAGAAATAATTGGTATATGTAAAAAAAACATTCGATAGTTAGTAAAATCTTATGTTACAAAAAAATAAATACTGGGGACGAAATTCAATACGCAACGCAAATAATTGTAAGTAAAAAAAGTACAATACGCAACGCAATTGATTGTAAGTACAAAAAATACAATACTACCCTCATTACGTTAAAGTATTAAGTAAAATTGTATTAGAAGTTAGCTGTTTAATTTTTACAATCTCCTTAACTAATAATCCTGCAATATCAACTGAAGGGTCGGATGCAATTAACGGAACTAACGCTTGAGAATGTGAAAAATATTTTTGCAGAAGAAAAACAGCAAATTCAAGTTTATATGTGATACATTTTAATTATAGGTATCTGCACATAATATACTCTTAATTTTAATCAATCTCAAAATTCTTTTATTTTTAAGAATTATGTTTATATTCTTCTATTGTTAGTTTTGCTGTTAAATAAACATAAATCATTATTATAAAATGTGTAACTTTATTTTGTGCAACCCACGTACGTGGTATAAAATACGTACAGATGCCTGAAGGGGAGTGTTATGGGCGAAAGTCAGGGGACCTGGGCCACCCCCAGAAAAAAATTCTAGTTACGTCAATGGTGTCTATGAATGAATATTGAAAAATGAATCCGTATTGTGCACTAATATTATGTAATTCTATTTAAATTATCGACTTCTTCGTGTTTATATTTAATTATCTCATAGAAATGCATGCATATTGTCACGTTAATAGAACGTTCACATTAATGTTCAGATATCTTCAATTACCATATTAACTTAATTAATTTATGATTACTTGAAGTAAATTAAACTCAATAATGCATGTCTGTACAATTGAACAAATTTTCTTGTATGTACTCAAATTATATTCAATAATCTGTAATATGAGATTAAAAGAATGCTCAATTGAAAATTTCAATTGAAATTACTTCTCAAAAAAAGAAAGTATTAATTCAATGCATTACTCAAGAAAAATAATTAAAAATAATTTCGAAAAATTGCTAAATACAAAATTCGGATTTTTCTTTTTATTCAGGTATGTATACCTTTTTCGTCCCGATTAATCTACCTTGCATAAATCACAAGTACTATAATTAAAAAGGTCCGCATGCCGCTTTGAATGTTTTACTAAACCTAAACAATCTGAGTATGTACAGTGTATGATCAAACTATTAGAGCCACCTCTATAAACTGAGGATTTAATGATTTTAATTGTATCTTTTATAATTGCATAAGTTACGATTAATTATTTGTGTATTCTTAATGAACCACTGTTAATAAAAAATTATTCAGTGTGAAAACCTTGATATTCTGATTTTATTTCTACACAAACACAAAAAAACCTATTTTTTGTACTGTGACTCTAACAGCTAACATCTATTGTATATACATACATATACATTATAATGTAATGATCACCTACTATAGAATCAATTCAACTTCCGATACAGTATTAAAAACAGATTACCTTTTTTACGAAAGCGTTAACACTTTCCTCTTTCTAAAAAATAGCCCCACAAGATATCGGGAAGAGGTCGCAAGAAAGAACAGAAATAAACGATATCCAGGGCAATGTATGCGGTCCTGCTATTCCGTTTCCGTAACTGTCTTGCGCCCGTATGATAAGTGAGCCACTATGTCCCGTAATAAATATTTTACTGCTATATCCGGAAGTAGGCAGGCGGAACAAGGACTCGTTGAGAGGGTGCATGGGGTGTCTGTCCGCGTTTAAATTTAAAGTTTCCCCTTCATGGCCAGGATTAAACTACTTTGCAACAGGAGACAACCTATGTGCCCCGACCATCCGATTCACCATGTCCCTCCTGCTACCTCCGCTAAGGAACGAGGCCAAAGGCACGATCTTGGAACGATGCATCGCCACTATCCTGAGCATACTTTATTACATTCCTTAAATATGACCAAACGGCGGCTCGACTCCATCGTCGACGATCTCCTCGCCGCCTCTCTTCTCACCCACCTACCGTTGCACAGAGTCGCGCCTCTTCTGAAATCGGCGAATGTAATGGGTTGGGGGAGTGGACCATTCTATATGCAAAATTCCACGGGCCGCGGAAGCGAATCGGCGACAGTCCGGGGAAGGCAAATGAAGATCACCGCGGAAAATAACGCGAGGAATTTCTGGACCACCATCCCCCCACCATGCCGTCTACGCCACGAGTGGCGCCGCCTCCTCTTTTTATTTCTTCCAAGTAATTTATATTCCTGGATTATCGGGTTTCGGGGGAATTTTAGATGGTAGGTGGCCTCGCCACGATGTCTTTGTACTCGGCTGGGTTTTTAAGGGTTTCTGATGAATTCAGGGGATGTGAAAGACTGGGGATTATACCGGATTCGATGGGGATGGGAGAGAATTTACTTCCTCCCCGCTTAGACCTGTTCGGACCGTTTTGGTGGGGCTTTGAATTAGTCCTCGCTACTAGTGTCTCGCATATTTGCATATTACACAGTGCGCAAAGTCATTGGGACAATTGTTTATATTCTGTAAATTGTTTCTCAATATTTTCGCTTTATAATATATTCTCGAAAAACCAAACCAATCGGAAACTGTAGCAGCAGGCGTACGCACGGGAGATAAACAATAAAAGAACTGTGACACTATAGACGGCAATTTCAAAGAAGAGTATACATATGATTTTCACTCTTTTCATCAGCAATTATTGAAAGTAGCGTTCTTCTGAAGTGACATATTGTTATAATAATTATACAGACACTCGAAATAGCTGTGATAATTTATGCTTCAACATGACGGATAATGTAGTCGTCGAAGCCCTGTGAATGTCAAAATAATTTTGGATTGGCTTTTCTTTGTCTTCGATTTCCAATCTGGGTAACAGGAATTAGATTAATGTAGTTGAATTAGACGAATATAGTGGATAATCATACTACAACATACTTTTGGAGACCGAAATGTCGTGTGAACTCATGACTCATCAAGCCAAGAGTATCGAACGTCGTCCTTACTACTATTTTGAAGCAGAATTAGCAGAGCCACTTCCAGATTTTGTATACTTACTGTGAACAGTACATGTGCTTAAAATAAAACTATTTCTAATATTTCATGATACAGAGCATGATCATTTTATGGAGAACTGTTGCTTTAATTTCAGGTTGGAAAATTTTAGGACAGACGTGTATCATGTGAAGAGTGGACAAATGAAATGGCCACAGTGTAACAAATCAAAACGTAGTTTTTTTGTTACGGGAGCTATCTTTAATGTAAGTAAGCACTACGTATGGTTTATATATTTATTAATATGATTAGAAACTTTCTTCTGCCTACCTGTAAATTGGTTCTCCACCTCCTTCTTTATACCACAGCACCAAGCTGACTTCGTCGTTGTCGGCTGAACGAATATCACAAGGAAGCTGCACCTTGTTACCTACTACGCCACTGATCGCGATGATGGGAACTGAAAAATGCAGAAAATGGAGTATTTTTAATAAACCTTATTCTGAACTGCACTGAGGAAACGAATAAAGCTATACGAAATTATTAATACTACTACACTTTAATCCGTCTACAGATCTAAAGAAGGAATTGAGTATAGGTAACCAAGTTTGGAATAATTTTTAAAAATATGACACAAGCATGATAGTATGAGTAGAGTGTGACCTTTTGCAATATTCGTGTACGCTTACGCAAATTATTCTATTGAAATATATAAGAAATTGTTTCTGTATGAACTAATATTACTGATGGTTAACTTTATTGGTCAACTTTAATTGCTATTTATATGTCGATAAGTACTTGTTTGTAACTTCTACAATAACAGCAGCCTATTTGTTCTTCTGTTAACTTCTTTGAATTATTCATGTAAAATACTAACTAAGAATGAGGTAGCGACTTATTTACTGCCTCCCCATATATGTAGTTGTGCTTACTTTTCTGAAAGCACTCATTATCAGATAAATATTTAAAATACATACATATAAGTAATAAAAAAGTAATAAAGCATAATTTTTTTACTTTTTTATCATATTTTTGAATGCTCTTCTGGTGATGTCCTTACTTTCGAATTTTGTTTTGTTCATTAAAAATGTTATATCGTACAAAAGAAGGGATGGATCTGTTAATTCTTAAACACAAATGAACATTTCCTTATTTCTTTGTCACATACATATATTCTAGCATTATCGTCGCAAGAAAATGTACATATAATTCCCAATCAGTAGCGCATAGTATATGCATAATGTTTCGCTCATTTTTTACGTCGCAATTAACATGAAAAGATATTATTAACACACTGAGCGCCATTAAGTAAAAACATTATGTTGCTTTCGATCACTGTATATTTTGTTTATTACACTGTATCCAAACTAATACAGTTGACCCATTAGACGAGTATGTGTTGTATTTAATTGGATACAAATGGTGCTTAACGCGTAAAATGCAAAAAATTAAATTAGTTGTGTGCAAATATAATTAACACATCAATGTCCTGTAAATAAAACTAGTTCGACGAAAAATTAATTTCTGATTTTTCGTCTTCAATATATTCGTCACACATACCGCGCCGTTCGGAAACAAAAAGTAGTCGTCTACAGTCAATTCCACCGAAGTCACGTTGATCTCTTGCATCGGTTCTACAAACCTCCAACCAAGGACAAATTAAAATATCCTCTGCACACATGCACGAGCGGACATAATTAACCGCATTCATTCCGGTCGAGATGGTCGTTGATCGCCAACAGAAATTCAGTCACCAACACTGGCACAAGGTGTTCTCCACGACGAACGACGACATCCTTCGGGATTAGATCTTATTACAGGAGAATTTAGCGGTGACGTACGCGCTGACGGTTAAGGTCGTGGCTTTCCGTGCAAGCCCGTAAGGTGCCCGATGCCGCGCGTCCTCATGCTGGTTGGCGGTGTAGATGGTGGTTAACTGTGGTTTGATGTCCTCGCGGAACGACTACTCTATTAGATTTACATGAAGATGGAGTTATCACGTTTTAACGAGCCACCCACCAACGCAGACACCGTTGCGCGGCCGCCTCTTATCTACCTACGGTGACGCGTTTGTCGTCGTTGTCAGACGAAATCAACGATCGTACAGACGCCCGCAAGAGCACCGATCGCTCCCAAGGATCTCATCGATCACAGTCACCTGTCGTTTGCTTGCTAACTCGGCCAATCGCAACAGCCTGGTGGTTCCACAAATTTCCATCTTGGGTCACAAAGCGACGATACTTCCTCGGCAACTTCGAAAAATGTGCGCGGAATCGCAAACCGTGGGTGGACAGGCTGCTAGTTGCACGCGTCTGAAGTCTGGAGATGAACAGCTTCGAGAGTTTGTTCGAGTGGCAGAATGAATATCGTTGATTGAAGATCTTTCTGACAAGGGAAGTTCGGTAACCGGAAAATTCCGATTTTTTTTACATTTTGCAAGTTTGTAGGGGTCCTCAAAAGAAGTATGGCGCAATTTTTGTTTTTGGCCTAATTTCAGTTCTTCAGGGTGAAAAACATCCCTTGAAGATAGGTGTTTCCATATTTCCCTGTATATCTTTGAAACTATCGTAGATATAAAAAAATGGTTATAATAAAAATTAAACGGTTTTTTATGGTCTATAAAACGATGCAATTAAATTGATACAAATTCTTTGTTTAAATAAAAACATCCCCCCCACTTTTATTAATTATCAATTAATAAAGGGCAAGGTAGAATAAGATGCTGCAACAGAATTTAACTTTAAATACGTCTGTAGAATTAAATTTTAGACATATCCTAGGCGAATATTTGGTACAGGGCTCTCGCGATTATTATCCCGAATTAGGGTCCGCGCAGGGACTATAATCGTGGACCACGCGAAACACTTCTGACTCTCGTGAATACGTTTTCTGCCCGAAGCTTGCGCCTCGGCAACTCGCCTTTGTAGTATACCGAACGTAGAAAAGGACAAGCCAGTGAAAAACAGAGAGAAAGCTTCCCTTCCCACTCAAAAATGATAGTCCTTCTCTTAAATGATAGTCTTTGAAATGAATTTTACATCTTTATGTGTACTGTATTCGTACGGTTTCAGTCCCCCGCATTTGGTAGTTTTATTATTATAACAGTTCCAATTTTCATTAGAAACTTGAAACAAAATTTCAAGGTATCCGTTTTTCTTGTATTGATTTATGTTCTTATTAACAAATTTACGCAAAAATGGGATAATCATTAGTAAAAAAAAGTATAAAAATTTACTGATTTTGAATACATTTTTGAAACAAATTGGTATTTCAAACAGCTCTTTATGTAGTTATTATTATTGTTAAAGAATAGATAACTGTATCTTAATAATTTCTTTCTCAGGCGAATAGTTTGTGTAATCTTGAGGAAAAATATTTTTCATCCCCAATTTTGTGGGCTGTCTTCATTAGTAACTTTGAGGGTTGATTTATCCCCCTAAATATAAATGCTAGCAGCGAGAAAAGGTAGGTGTCTAATATTTTCCAATGTAGGTATTACCTCGGTATCAAACTTCATAAAAATCGACGTGTCACACTTTAAACATGCCTCTCGTGAGCTAATTTAAAAGCCGATGAATTAATTTAAACCGTTTAACCATCGCACGGCGGTGCTTTAATCCATATGGACCTTGGTTTCTAAAAGCTCCACCTAACTTATCAGCCTATGCATCCCATTTAAGCTGGGAGGTGTTCATATTAAGTCATATAAAAAAGTAGGTTACCTTGGATGATTGGGTTTGAAACTAAAGTTAAAAAGTCGGAAGTATTAGGGGTCCATACGGATCCAAACATCACCGCTGTACGAACATTGAAAACGTCAATCTTCCGAGGGTTCAAATATTTCATTGCCGAAGCGTATAGTGCCTCTTAAAAAATAGAGCGTACGCTGTATACAAACACTCAAATACAGACACATCACAGAAATGTTCATCTTAAAATCTACAATCCAACGTATCAGTTACGAGTGGTTCACTGAAAAGCTGATTAATGTAACTAGAATATAATTCAAAAGGAACTAAAAGTATTTCGAGAAAAAGCATATAATATAATACTCCATTCATCACTTCTTATCCACACACACGACTAACTGATCGCGAACTCCATTCTAGTCCGAAGCACGAAATTTTTTGAGCCCGTCCGAGAATGCACGTTGGTAGGACCCGACGTTCGCAGTGACAAGCGCCACGCTCGCCGAGCGCGGAACAATTTCATTTATCACGAGAAAAATGGCGGTTAAACTCAGCGAGCGAGCGAGCGTACCATTCATTTCCCGGAGATCGAGGGGATGACAAAAGCCGCGCGGGGATACGCCTGTAACCAGGCAGAAGATCGGAGAGAAACGCAGGAAAATGGTGGGCGCCGAGCAAGGGGTGAGTCGCTTCTTCTTTGTCGTCCCCGTCGTTATATCACTAGCGCGAAACGACAGGAGAGTGTATTAGCGTGGAAACCGTCCCAGCGTTCGGGCGTACCGTCATCCTTGTTAGCACGTTTTCCGCGATACTTGCTCGCCAAGAATGTCGTATCGGGGGATATTTTCCGTGACAACGTCGACTCGCCTTCGAATGAACTTTATATCATTTATTTACGGACGATGTGGGCGCAATTGTTACTTGTGAGGGTGCCCGGAGTTTTAGAAACTGTCGACTTGCAAAGTTTAGGACTTAATCGTGCTATAAACTGCAAAATGGATTGAACGTTGGTTCTTTCTAGAGATACGCTACAGTTCGGGAGTTTGGGATCATATGTTGCACGAATAATGAAATTGATTTTATTTTATTGGAAACAATATAAAGGGATTGTATGTATAACTTTCCTATACGGAACAGAAGGTCATAGTATTTTGTATTAGGTCAATATTATTGATGTAAGTATAGACGTAAGATTGTTAAAACAATCGTAAATGGTTTCGTACGAAATACAATACAGTAAAAAGTTTATTTTCTATGTTATTCTACAAATTATATGCTGGTTTACAACGTAACAGAAATTGAAATTGGGTAAAATACTGGAGCTACATATATTTTTCTACAGTTATTCAATTTAAATACATACTAATGATTATCTAACTGGTGCTAATGTACTTTTTATATCTTTAATCAAATGGATGATATTAAACTGCCGTATTTATGATGAATTATTTTGTACGATTATAGAAAATAGGTAGCGTTGAGAGCATGAAATGCTAGACTACGTTAACATTTTTAAATACCCGTGTATATACATTAAACGTAAAATTACAACATTTTGCTTTGTTAGTAATAACATAAGATGTTCACAAACATTAAATATATATGCTTCTAATGTACCTACTTTATAATTTTTTTTTATGAAAGATGTCAGAATCAGTGCCATCTGTTTTATAATTCTAAACATGAATTCCTTTATTCGATTATATTCTCAAATTCACGTTTCTAATAAATGTTGTTTTGAAAAAATAGTATTTACATTTCAATATATTCATGCATGTATACACTTTTTACAAACCATAATAATATTTAAAATATGATGGTGGGCTATAATCACGCAATTCAAGAAGTTATAATAAAATAGTCCCTTTACTCCAAATCGGTTGTTCAATTAATCAACTGTCTCACAAACATGTTTTGTCTGAACGTTTTTCCAACGTCCAAATATCCCAAAAAAATTAGAACGCAAGAAGCGCGTTGCCGACCGAGGGAATAACGTTGTATTTCATTTGCTGATAGCAAGCAGCACCAGAATGAAAGGCGGAGAAAAATAAGGCCAGTTAAATTTACGTGTTCAATAAAAAGGAAAATAAACGTACTCCGCGCACGCTTGCCTGGAGGCGATCATCTTCGAGATTCAAGACCCTCCCGCGCATCCGAGGAAACGGAAAGATTACTTATTTACGGGCACCCCGATGCTGCAGGGTTGAGAGAAGCAGGGAAAAAAAAGACGGAGCCACGATGCGTTTCACGTTCCCTCGAATTAGCTGGTTAAGGAGAGCGGCCGTTGATGGATTCGTTTTCTACGTAGAAAGGTTATTTATGAACGTTACGAGTCGCGGCATCGATCCGTACCGGGAACGACGTGGGCGTTCAGAATTCTTCGGCAACATGAACAAATTACGATGCACGCTACACATCCGTTTAACCGAGAAACGAGACAGCCAGTACCCGTTTCTCGAGCAAGTTGGAATTAGTTTCGTATCGAGCGTTAGCGATTGAGGTTTCTATTAGCTAATGACGAGGGGAAGTGTTAACAGTGATAGAGATGGTGAATTAATTGTGAAAAAATATTCTGAAAAGGTATATGTACTTGTTATTATAAAATACTTCACTGGAACTAACCAGGGAATGACAACTGTCCGTCTTCAATTATAACGAAGTTTTATATGATGAAAATATACATATACTGTATGTAGAGAGTATAATGCGCGAAAAGCGGAATGAAGGGTGCCTCCATGCGCCTTGAGAGGCATATTAGAGTGGGCCCGTGATGCGCCGAAAAGGCGCACGTAGCACAGCCCCGGAGCCGAAGGTGTGCGTAAGCGCATTTCCCCTCCTCCTCCTCAAAAAAAAAAATAAATAAATATAATACATATAGTAGTATACTCCTCATATTAAAAAATTATACTTTTGTTTTGAATGATATTAATGAAAATACTGTTCTTTATATAATGAAACTCTACAAAAGCGACGCATATATTTAGCATCGTTTCTTTTCTTATTTCCATAACATATATGACATCGTTTTCTTATAAATTCGTTAATTTTCTCAGTTTGTATTCCTTTTATTTCGTGTTGATTTAAATTTCCGGACAATCTTTCCGGCGGATCCTGTCGAGAACGTATCCGTGCCGTCTCTTGCGCGTGATATTCATTTGACGCATTAGTGCGTCATTCCATAGCAGATGGCAATATTCCATTTGACGCGGTATTGAGTCTTCCGTCGATAAGGTGTTAGTAACTCGGAACCGAAGCCCCGAACGTAATTTCGTCATTCTTGGCTTTCATTTTACTTTGGCATATTGAATCGATCATTTGGAAGGATCCCACATTTTTCTTAACACCCTGTGTATCCATTCCAGTCGTGAAACGTAACAAAGTGAAGCTATCGATATTTGCTTTTGTCTCGGGTGCAATTCGAAGGTCCAGGAAGATACGTCGATTTCGAATGTCGGCGTACGGTGGCCGAACGATTTTCGCAAATGAACGGTTCTTGTGTTTCCCCGGAAGCACATCCGCCTTGAAACACGAGTTTATTCGATATGGGATTCGTGGCACGAACCGCAAGCAATACTCTGTTTGCTCATTGGCCTGGCGAAATTTCAAGCTCGTCAATTAGGAACCGTATTCCTTGGTTCGATCCCGGGGCAAAGCGGAGAGCAAGGTAAGACAAATTGTCCCACGTAGAGGTAATTAAGCCCACCTCCGTCCATCGCCGCAACCAGAAACGTGGAATAAAAATGTCCAAGGGATTCTTAAAGTCTTGCTCGCCCTAGAGCTTAATTTAAATTTACTCCGCGATAGATCTTATTCCTGTGTTAATTATTTCTTGAAGCGGTTGTTCGGCATATAGAACTGCTTTATGATAAAGGCGGAACGAAGCGGGAGCTGTTAAGATAAGCCTATCCGGGCGTCGTTCTAATATCGTACCTTATCTTTTGTTCGAGCTATTAATGCGACAGTAAAGAGGGATGCGTTGGCAGCGACGGGTGAAAATGTCGCATTCACGTGTCTGACGAGCAGATAGAGCTACTACTTGAACTTCACACCTCCAGGGTGTAACTACGGGCAGTGCATTAATCGTTTTATACTTCGCACGGATAGTCTGTTTCTTCCGGAATTGTTATCGTTAAATTATCGTTGTAACGCGGATCATTCGTGCATTTTATAGTTCGAATTAGCACGATCTGAAGTGTATGACTTGAACCATTGTGTTTTGTCTGTGTAGTCGTTTTGAGATTGAACACAGAAGAAGACGTTCGTTCAATCAATGATGAAACATATTCCAGCAAATCCAAGCAACATCTGGACACAGGGAGAGAGTAAGACAGTCATTGGTAAAACGTCTGATAGAGTTTGTTGAAAATCAAAACCGCTATAACTTCCAATCAAAATCAAATAGGACATATGTTTAAATGAACCATTCCTATTGTTTAAATGTGTTGAAGTCACCCTTAAAATTTTTACGTGTACGTAATATGGTAATACTAATTTGTACCGAAACCACCCTTCTTGTAATAATAACGTTAATATAACATTTGAAATATTCAGTGCTTGTATCAATTTCAAACGTACGTTTTGCAAACATAATTATTAAATTGTTAATGTTGATAAGTGAATCTTGTTTAATGTAAATACACAGTTATTTGAATCAATATGATGCGAAAATTACTTGATGGTTACTTTCTTCTGCAGTTTAATTTTCAACTGGATTTAAACGTTTGATAATTCTTACAAGTTATATTTCACATCTTTGTAAGCTATTGCGAAGTAAAAATTTGAATAAAACGGCATGTATTATAGATGATAGCACAATGTTCAACAATATCCAAAATCAATGCGAAGTTTTCGACGAAACGTCAACCAGAATGAACAGATGAAAGTTGCTGTTTATTTATAAAGTAGTGACCAAATATTAACGGTAATAAACCATAGTTAGTTGAAAGGGTATAAGTACCTACGTGTTCAAATGAAGCCAAATAAGCAGCAATCGACGTTGAAAGTGTCTGGCAATATGTATAGCGCGTTGCCGGCTACGCGATTTCCGCTGATCAGAATTATTGTAATATTTGAGGACGGCCGTGACATGAAAATATCGACCTCATCCATAAGTACCTAATGAACCGAGGATACACATTGAGGGAATTTCAATTCCGCTAGCAGGATGTACATTTGCCTCCCCAATAAATCGGAAAAGATATGAAGCAATATTAATTACGCGCATTATCCGCTTCTGCTAGTTCCTCCAAATTTATCTGTATATTTCCACCACCGAAACTCATTATTTTAGCTGACGTGAAGTATACGGTGGCTGTTGTATCGCAAAACAACGGTGAAAATAAACTTCACCTTGAATAATTACACAGTACTGTAAAACCGAGTGTTACGATTTATTAGGGTTGTCCTCCTGAAATGTCGCATTTTTAGAAACAGTAACTTACGATATTTTATTGAACTTTAAACGTATTTTATTAATCAAAGCAAAAATTAAGATAAGCAATTGTTAAGGTAAAGATATATTAACAATTTTTGATACATACTTTTTACTTACTTTTATGTAAATATTAATAGGTGTCAACATATCTTTTTAAAATGTTTCAGCCCAGATCGATTCTAAAACAACGCTATATGAAATGAAGAACAGGATAAAACCATTGGCGGTTATAACTCGTGAATAGAGTATAATAGCTCCTCGATTGACAACATAAAAACACGCTTCGTTATGATTATTTTCTCTTTGTGTAAATATTGCTACGACAGTTGTTACCAATTCTTTTAGAATATTTAAGATTCTGATTAAGTAATTATTTATGCAAATAAAACTCGTTTAATATTTTCTGAGAATTATAATACTTAATATCATATATGTATATCATAATGTTCAGTTGTGATCTTGCTGCTTGCTTGCAAATTTTTATTGTCATATATAGATGTCACCAGAACGCGTATGCAACTGCTACTAATACGTCTCTTCCGGTTCTTATGTTTTGCCGACAATCACTCTTCAACCAATGAAATGTGCATTATTACGAAAGCAAATCCACCTCGCCCGTTTACAACCTACATTTCATACTTTTATCAGACAATAAATCAATCTCCTTCCAAAGTTGAAATCGATCACTCTAGCACAAGTTGACTCTTGCTCAAGCAATACAAGTCTTATAACTAGACTACGAAGTTTTATGCAAAATGACATCTTATAAAGTAATTGATCAAGACAACAGCATGTGGAAGAATTTCCTTTCTCCCCTAAGTATCTTATTCGGTTCAGAATTAATGAGAAAACCCGTTGTATTTGGTATAAGTTTCGTCTTTTATTCGATCTCACAGAACCCAATAGGTTATAATGCATAAAATCCGCAGTTTACTTATAATAATACAATATTTTATGAGACGTATAATCAGGCGACTAGTTAGAGACTCTGTATTTTATAGAATTCTTCAGTTGTGATCTAAGTACGGAATTCTTGAACACAAACGCGACCATACAACACTTTATTAAATTATCAAATTTTAATAGAATCTGTTCAATCATAAGACTTGCAAAATCAACTTTGTAAAGAATACAACTATACATACAACAAAGTATTGGGTCAGTGAAAAATTTTTGTTTGATTTTCTGCAGGTGATACGATCGCCATGGTTTTGTGGAAACAAACAATTATGCTAATATATTGTTTATCAATATCAATGTAACAGAGTGAAATGTTGTTCAGAACAAAAGTTGACGCGACTGACTAGGTGCGTTTTTTAATCGAGTCTTCGAAAAGAAATCTGAAAATAGAAGGAGTAAATGTCACAAATGTCGTAAAAAATATTTCTGGTCTGTTTGGAAAAATAATCTACCGAAGGCTAAATGTGAAGTCAATCAATTAATTAGAACTTAAACTATCGTGTCGGTCATTTAACAAAGTACTTTAATTAATTAATTAATTAGAAAAATGCGTTTAAACCTTTGTACATTGCACGTAGCAGACAGTGTGCCGCATTCTTTACAACATTTGTAGGTAATTTCGTTAAGTTTGCGATTCTGGGAAAAATCTTTCTGCAGTCAAGTGCAGTCATAGTTTGGGAAACCTATATTTACAGAAATTGCAACAAAAAAATTGATTTTTTGAATGGTCTAGACAGGAATACCCCGTTAATATAAGGCGGAATGTCCCTCAATCTCTACTTAATAAGCTATATTACAAAGGGGGCCCGAATACTCACAGTCAGTAGATTTACACGTCTCAAACGCGACATCTTTCTTTGTGCAAGGAAAAAACGAAGGAGACTATTAAAATAACGGTCCTTCGAAGAAAAATCCTCTGGCTGGCAAGGACGACTCTATGGTAAGTCTAGATATATTGTGGACGGTAACGTAGTAGGTAGATTAATGGTTTCTACTGGTGCTCGGGAAAACGTTTTTATAGCGAAAGGTGGCCCCCGCCTGGGATAAAATGCCGCGACGGGTACAGTTTGGGTTCCGCTCAGCCAGTAAAAGTTGTAATTACTGTAAATCGCGATGTAATTGCCGTAGTAATTACCGTAGGGAAGTAGGCACCCGGCTCGCGTAAATAAAGCCGTGCTTGCGAGCTTACCAGTGTTCCCAGTAAATTTCAATCGTGAATGTTTCATTTGTTATGAAACCACTTTAATCGCCTTCTCATTCCCTTTGTCCCTATTGACTTGTTTAGGCGCAGAATATTATTTCCTTTTTACCTCCATTTCTGTTCATTCGGTAACAATACAACTGTCTGAAATGTTAAAATAATAACAACATGTTCCCTTATGTAAGTTTTCTACACGCATTAGAATCAAATTTAAAAGAAACAAATTGTTTCATTAAAAATGCAAAGGAAAGTGACATTTGAAAGATAAAATTGCATTATACGTTCCCTTATTTATACAGGGTTCTTTTCTTATTCTTCCACAGAAATTAATTAAAAATATAGATTGAAATTTTTTCGTGTAGAGCTTCGTGTTCAAGAAAGTGGTATTTAATTAAAAATTCTTTGAATACATTGGTTTTGGAATGAGACTGGTTAATATGTAAGGCTACTATACACTGTCTCTACATGTAGTACGTACAAAAGTCAAGTCAGACTGCGGTATGCATACAGTAAAAAATAATATCCAATTAAAATACCCTGAACCATAGGTCGCAACTCAACCGTTTTCTTGGAAAAGTATATTAAACTTGTATTAATATTCGGACCCGCTTTATTTGCAACATGCTTGCATTTTTCAATCAAATTCAAGGTAAATAGTATCTATTGTCGCACGTAGATACCCCTGATACACCATTATATAATGGTGAAAAATATAAGCAGGTTACAAGTAAAGTGAGTCCGAATACTAATGCAGTTTTAACATAATTTTCCAACAGAACGGTTGAGTTGCGATCTATGGTTTCTTCCGAACTTTTTATCCTCATGACGAGTAGATTACGATGCAATAGGTAATAAAGAACTTGGACCTTGAATTTCAAAGTTGAGGTCAACTTTGTGATGACATTCCTTTGTAGATCGCCACCGACCAAGAGGTGTAGGATAACGCTATTCTAGCCGTGACATATAATTTTCAAACACCCTGTACAATAATAAACTTCCAACAAATATTACATTCTAGTTTACGCAATATGTTCATATTAATAAAATGTTTATAAACCCATGATACAAAGTATCAATATATGTTTATCTTTTTTTTTTAATCTGACGTGTATCATTTCATGACATTAGCTGATTTTGTTTCTAAACGTATTAAATTTTATTTATAAACGGTTATATCATTGCAGAAAATTGCAAAAACATCGAAACAGTGTTTTTCTATTACAAATTACAATTCTTTTTGATATTAATTATAATTCCGTTTGATTTTCATAAATCTTATAAAATTTATTTTTTACCTCTGAGAACTCCTAACTTGGGCTCGAGCTGTACGCTACGCAGTTCAGAGACAGCCTATACGCAGGCAGTTGTCGCAACTTTATGGATTCCCTTTGACGATCCCTAACCCGGAATGAGATTATGTATATCTGCGATTTACGTTACTAACTACTTAAAGCCGATTTGCAGAGAGCTGTTATCGTCAAGGCGGGTGCTTTCCCCTTCACAATCGTCACGAATATACGTCTCTCTAATGACTGACGCTACTTTAAACTTACTACCGGTATACATCCAAACGCGTTACCGTCCACAAACTGCATTGCAAATTCTTCCAGAATTCGATCTTAGAACTGGACACTACCAGCCCCAGCTTGTTTCACTTGCAAAGGATCAGACGGAAAGTCGTTTCTTCCTGGAGAATATTTTCAGAATTTTGCAAGTATTCTCACGAAGTTGATTATACAGGATGTTCGTAAATTTGGTGTACGTTTTTATAAAAATCATATGCATGTTAAAAATCATACGCGGTTGTTCGACTTCAGGCCTGAATAGAAGATCATTGACATTACTTATAACACCATTTCTAAACTGTTGCTGAAATATTTATAAGACATTAGTTTTATTGACAAAGGTTTATACAACAAGTAAGAGTGCAGTGTATGCCTGAACAGAAATCATGCATGAGCAATTTAGAGCAGTCATTTTTGTAAAATTAAGCATGCAAACATAGTAAGAATTCGAATATGTGTTGGATACACGGGCAATAGAATAAGACTTTTCCAACATGTATGTTCATTTTAGACAGTTTCTACTTTGTGCCGGTACAAATGCTATAAATACACGTCATTTAAATGAATTTTCAAATCCAATGTTCTCCAACACGAAGACTTAAAAGAAAACATGTTATTCTTTTCCGTCATTGATTTTTGCATGCACAATTGTCACTCATCGGGTCGTCCCACAATTTTGGGGATACCCTGTACAACAAGTAAGAACATATTATTGTAGAAATCGGCTTTGGAAGTATATTTTCTTGAATTTCCTTTTATATTGAATTAAACATGGATTGTAAACCAACTGTCATCAAAGTTTTCTGTCTTTACAATTTTATGTACTTAAATGATCACAGAAAGTATTAATAATTTTCCCAAATTCAATGACAAATATAATTAATAAAATTCTACTCCATTACAATCTAGTAAAGACCAGTACAACAATTTATTTATTACTGACAAACCAATATTAAAACAAATTCAATTTATTTGTAATGCACTAATAAATCTTGATGTCACGTCGACCACTTTATATTCACGGCTCGATATCAAATTTACGTAAATTTGTCAGCTATCGTCCCGCCATCTAATTTACGGGATGAACTTGAAACGTGCGGAGAGGAGATCGGAAACACATAA